GATTTGTCCCTTTAGCACTCCCCTATTTGGTGTTGCCTCATTCATTTCCATTGTAAACAGTGGAAGGGAGACCATTACCAATTCAGACTTTCTGTAAGAAAAATCAAAACATTATCCTAAAAGATCCTGTAAGATCCTCATATCCTGTTCACTATCCATTACCAGAACAGGATCCTACTGGCATTCCTATAGTAATCTTAAATGCTTGTTAGTAAATCTGAGTATTTTAGAAATTTAGAAAGACAAAATTATCAATATTAAGATCTACCTAATCAAGATAAATAATTAACAAAAGTAATTTGGAAAGCTAAACGTTACAGTATTTTTTTATTTAGGAGAAGTGTAGGACATCATAGAGTCTTAAACAAGTAATATGTTAAGCGCAATTATTTACTTTTGTATCTAGCAATTGCATTTGTCATTTGAGCACCTTTTTATCATTGGCTTAGGTGACGTAGACATTTTTGCTCCAGCACTGGGCAGTGTTTGTAAAATTTCAATTTTATTTCTGTCTGCTTGATGCCTTTTTTAGGCCTTGCACGCTTTTCCTATTCAGAAACAGTAGTGTACTGCAGCTTGTCACTTAATGGATTGTGTGCAGAGATTTTGCACAGGTGCCACATACAGTAGGTATAATCAATATAGATGATGTGCCTGTAATGAAGCCAGGCAGCAAAAACCATGTAGTTTTTTTTTTTACCGTGGATACAACAGCAATTTAGTATTGCTGGTAATAACAGTGTTGTTGCAAATTAATGTGAAAAAGTACATTATAACAATAAATGGCCACCTGCAGGCCACTGAAATTGTTTCTTGTCATCCAAAAGCAAAACTGGTCACCATAGAGACTCAAATGGGCACAACTTCCAGTGCTGCATTTTCAGGATAAACAACTTGTGTTTGAATAATATGGTGCTTTCTACTGGTAAATTGCACATACTGCATTTTGTTTGTTTTCAGGAAAATATTTTATCAAATTTTCCTTTGTTGCTGTACATGAACATTATTCTCTCATTTTCCAGGCTACTGTTAACTCTTTCATGAGAGCTTGTCAGACTTGAACAGTGTTTAATAGTATCTTACAAGATTATATGCAAGGACCTGTTCAAGAATTGCCATATCCTGCAAGATCCTGAAAATGTTATGGACTCCAGTGACCTCAGAGTCCTGTATGATCTAGAGATTTATGGGTGGGGATTTGTACTAAATTCAGTTAAGGTGTCTCTGCTCAATCCTGAGCAGAATCAAGAAGGTAGGATCCTGTATAATTATTAAAGATCCTACAGGATCATGCACAGTTTCCCTTACAGGATTTGGTAAAAAATTCCTACCAGTTGTGCTACAGAATCTCATATAGGAGACTTTAGGATCCATCTATAGGACCTTACTGACTTATTTGGCGGTAGTGGTGTAGATTAATAGTTTTGACTCTAGTAATTGACCAGAGGGTTGTGGGTTCAAATTGCTGTTTTTTGGGAGGTAAAGTTCATTGCTGTTGGTTTGTCTGGGTTGGTCCAGCAAGATCAACAGTATTAATAGATACTAATAAACAAACTAACAAGTGATAGTAATGCTTTTTTATAAAGCATTTTTCCCCCCAAATATCATCCAAATGTAAATTAAATCCACTGACAGAATCCTGTTAGAACTGTTCTAGGATCTTTTAAGACGATGAAGAGATGCATGATCATATAATATCTTGTTGGATTTTTTTTAAACAAAATCTAATAAGAGAACAAGACAATAGCATTTTTCACCATGCCACACAAGCCGCCCCCTCTCTGTTGTCTTCAGTGGTGCTCTTTGATGAAGTAATCCTGTAGGTTCCTATGTGAATTCCAGATCCTTTGTAAGATCATTCAAGGTCTTAGAAAAGTTTGTGCAAGATTCAAGATCAGGATCCTATTTTTAATTTTTCAAGGTATCCCCAGAAAGAAAAGATACTTTTAACATTCTATCTAAAAAAAGGCGTATCTCTTGCAATAAGTATAACTACTTTAAAACTACTAGGTTAATTCCATGCTGAAAAGAGAAGAAAGAAAACACAACGTTTCGGCGTTCTTCACACCTTCTTAGGTGAAACTTTGTGTTTTCTTTCTTCTCTTTTCAGCATGGAATAAACCTATTACTTGTTCCTTTGCAGCCTACGCATGCTGACACAGCTACCCACCTGAACTACTTTAAAACTACTGTTTTAAAATAGAAAAATCTTTTATAATTCCTAGCAGAACTAATAATTATTCCACACCTATGGGTTCCATTATAGATTTTTTTTAAACTTAAGGTCCTTATTTAATCATTTCGAAAAGGTCTATTACTATGGCATGGCTTGAGTGAAAGTTAATATTATAACACCAAACAGTTCAGCAAAACATATGAATGATATTTCCCAACATGCATTTATATAGTTTCTATCTTTTATGATATAGAATGCAAAACATATGGTACATTGTTAAATGAAACACAGGATGTGTTAAAAAAGAGTAACAATGAAATTTTATGCACATAGCATTTTTTAACAGTACGTTTTGAAATATAAGTAATTTAATTTGCAGAAAACTGGTTTGCTTAAAATGCATAATTACATAATATAAAAGCATGAAAATATCTCTATACTATTAATATCAATTGATTCCTTTTGATGTCATGAATATTTTAGTTACTTTTTGAGACAACCAATGAATAATGAATGAGACATCCAAATACATTTTTATTCATTGCGGGAGAATAACTAGTGACTTCATTAAACAGACCTTACAATTTCAATTTTAAAATTGTTTAAACTTTTTAATTTGTTTCACCCAATGGCTGATGGCCCTGTTACAACCTGTTAGTGTTATTTACTTATAGTTCACCAAATACTGTAACTCACAAGAAGCTTAAAAGGTGTGGGTTAGATTTAGAATGAGGTAGGCCACTCCTACAAAATATTTTGTGTTTTTAGAAGCTTTGCTAATCTCGTAAGGTTTCCAAGTCTGAAGGTTTTTGTTATGATCATGTGTCTTAATCTTGTGCATGTATTTTGCTCTTGAATTTCCTAAGCTTAGAGAGGTTTCCTACAACCTTTAATTGTTTTAAAATGCGAGAGAAACCGCTGCCGTAAAGAAGCACCAGTTAGCCACTTTGGAAATGCCCGTGAATATACAGTATTTGGGACTTAACAACCCACCTGCAGTGCTTGTGTATGTTGGAATGTGTTACCAGATGTGTCTGGAAAATCATGATTGATTGCTTTCAGGGTCCACGGAGAATGTAGCAATAGTGCAGTATTGTCTGAAGAGGTGTTTGCTTACAGTACTTGCATTTATGTGCTGCAAAATAATTTTATTCGCAGCTTGTGCATCCAAGCAGAATCCAGAATGCCGCTTTGTGCAGTTCTGGGTATGGACAACAGAAGCTTTTTTTGCTACTTATTTATGTCTGGTTCTTGGAGCAATGTATGGTGTTTTCCCAGGGGTTTATTTAATGTAACCACATTATGAGGACATTACAAGCTAAAATACACGCGCAATGCATAAACAGCAGCAGTGAATGCCATTAAAATTAGAAATTGAACGTTCTTTTAATAGCAACCCGACATTTAATTGCAGATGGAAGCCATGACACGCTGTGGATTTTGGTCAATTTTCTCACAGTACCTCACTTGTAGTGGGAGAAAGACCACCTGAGATGCAGGTGATGTGTTGATTAATGGACTGTTCCACAAATTTATGTTTTTCGAGCTTCGAGCAACAGACTATGTGCATATACAGTACACGCGTGTACTGTACAGTATAAACATTGTAAATATCTGTATTTTAGTGCGTAATATCCATCATTATTCCACTTAAAGTTGACTTCTGTATAGTTAACTTGCATAAAAAATGATAATTGCAAAGAATGAAAAGCCAATGTAACTTAAATGTTGCATAAAACAGAACTAAGAAATATAATATGAAAGTAGCAATTGTTTGGCTACAGTATTTAAAATAAGACTTGAATGTGCAAGGAAGTTTAATTTCAGGTTTCAGGAGCTGCTTGTCACCACCATTGGATCACGGATGTAGGACCTGCGTCAGCATGTGTTGGCAGCAAAGGAACAGGTAAAGGCTCATTCCATGCTGAAAGGTAAAGGGACAAAAAGGGGGAGAGAGAGAAAGTAGCAAATAACTCATTTATTTGCTCCCTTCCCACTCTCCCTCACACCTGAAGACAAAACATCGTTTTTTTTTCCTTACCTTTCAGCATAGAATGTACCTTTACCTATTCCAGGGATATTTCAAAAGTAATTTTGCCTAGCTATGTATGTTTAAGTTTTATTATTTTTTTAAAACATTTTTACATTGTATCATCCATATAATTGCAATCAACAATTAAACTGAAAACTATAGAAACCCTATTTATTCATGAGCCTGCAGCTAGTAAAAACCAGAAATGGTACAGACTATTATGAAAGGAGCGCTACTTGTTTCCCTGATTTACAATATCTGTTTATTTTGAACGTCTGTGCCTCTTTATCTAGTAGTTTTTTTAGTTGTCCTGTACCATCACCTTCTGATCCACTTGCTTCCCAGCCCATGGTGCTTAAATACACTTGCATCCTCTTCCTGGTGGGGTGCCCAGTACCATCCATCCATTCTCTGACCACTTCGTCCAATTCAGGGTTGTGGGGGTGCTGGAGCCTATCCTGGCGAGCAGTGGGTGCAAGACAAGGTACACCCTGAACTGGATACAAGTCCATTGTAGGACACACACAGACGCAAACACAGACTTGCACGCACTCACACCAGGGCCAGTTATCCCTGAAGCCAGTTAACCTACCAGTATGTCTTCGGATCGTAAGAGGAAATCGGAGCACCTGGAGAAAACTTACACGTACATAGACAGATAGCACTCCAGGTCCAGCATTGAACCCAGGGACCCACCGCTGCGAGACAGAAGTGCTAACAACTGCATCACCTTGCTGCCCTTTCTGTCCTGAAAACTCGTATCCAAATGACTTGGCATTTTGTTTTTTCCAGGTTCAAGGTATCCTGATTCCCCCCAAGATTCAGCCTTGGAATTGGAGCTGCAGAAATGAGACCGGGCCAAAGGGGAGTCAGTCTGGGGCTGCTAATGCTCGCCTCCCAGATCTTTCAGGTGGGGATCAACAATATCCCCCCTGTAACACTGGCTGTTTTAGGGCTTAACATCTACCTTTTCCTGGTGCCCCAAAAGAAACTGCTGAACGTGTGCATAAGTGTGCAGAATGCCTACGTTCACAAAGACTGGCAGCGGCTCCTCTTGTCACCCTTTCACCATGCTGATGATTGGCACCTTTATTTCAACATGGTGTCCATGCTGTGGAAAGGGCTGCGTCTGGAGAAAAGACTAGGCAGCCTGTGGTTTGGCTATGTTATTGCTGTTTTCTCCCTGTTGACTGGTGTTGTCTACATCCTTTTGGAAATAGTCCTAGCTGAATTAACTGAAGACCAGTCCTACAAAATGCAGTGTGCTGTTGGTTTCTCAGGTAAGTTGTGTCACACAGTGAATGATGGATATTGTCTATGAATTAATTCTCTATGAACTGTAATCCGTTGCCAACTAATTGATTGCTGTGATCTGCTAGGGCAGTTGCTGGTAGCATTCCTATCCAAATTAATGAAAGCTTTACATTCTATAGCGATACCTTTCTTTTGTAGCGGTATTCTATTTTTCTCAAGTAAAAATAATAAACTTTATTGTATATAGCGCCTTTAAAGGTGGCTTCTCAAAGTGCTTTACAGAATGTCAACAACAATAAATAAAAATAATACATAAGATAAAACAATTACAATATACAAAGGAGACTGAGGATGGTGGTACTAAGAAAAGCAGAGGGGTGAAGAATGGAACAGTTAAGTAAAGGCTTTTCTAAAGAAGAAGGTTATAAGTCTGGATTTGAATGAGTTTAGAGAAGGTGACTCTCTGATATCCTTGAGTTCCAGAGCTTGGGGGCATAACAGGAGAAGGCCCTGTCACCCATACAATGTAGACGGCCTTGGGGGACAGTAAGGAGACCAGAATTTGTGGAGCGAAAGTTGCGAGGTGGAGAGTAGGGCAATAATAATTCAGACAGGTATTGAGGTGCCAAGCCATCCAGAGCCTTATAGGTGAGCATGAGGATTTTAAAGTCAACACGGAATTTGACAGGAAAGCCAGTGCAAGGACTCCAGGATAGGAGTAATGTGATCACTTACACTAGACCTGGTCAGGATTCTGGCTGATGAATTTTGGACATACTGCAGTTTGTTCAAAGTAGATTTAGATACCCCAGCGAGTAGAGCATTAAAGTAGTCAATTCGAGAGAACACAAAAGTAGTTTTATTCCTATGGAAACCGCACATACTGTATCATGATCAAGTTATTTCAGTGTCTCGCAGATGTCCTCTGGGTAATTGTAATGCACAGAGCAGTTTTTTTTTCTGGATTTTTGACATAGATTCCAGTTCTTTGGTGATGTGATATTATGCGGTGACCGAATTTTTAGCGAAAGGCAAGCCTGCTCACAGTTGCTTTTTTGAGGGAAAACTGTCAGTTTCAATGAATTTGTGCTACATGATAAAATGCAAGAATATATTTTCTTTTACCCATGCCAGTTTTGCTACCATTTAACCTTGGCTCTGTTTCTGTGCTTTAAAAGATAAAATTAAAGGTTTTTTAAAATAATAATATTACAGCAAACTCTTTTAGTTTATTTTAAATTTGAGCGTTCAGTTCCTTGCAAATTACTTTAGATGACCTGCAGGAGGGCATAACCGCAGTCTGATGTTTATTTGGTTGTTTTTCAGGAGTTTTGTTTGCTTTGAAAGTGGTAAACAACCATTACTTTCCTGGAGGTGTGACTAATGTGATGGGGTTTCCAGTTGCCAATAAATATGCCTGTTGGGCTGAGCTTGTGCTCATCCATGTGCTGTCACCTGGGTAAGTGCAGACTTCCTCTGAGAATGTGTAGTGGAAAGATCTAATTATTTCGGCAGGGGCCATTAGAATGTACGTGAGCAAACATTAGCCAGACAGGAGCATATTAAAGTCTTGGAGTTTCATCAGCACTCATATTGCTGAAGAAGCAAGACATGCAAATAAAGTAATTACAGGCCTGATTTGCTCAGGAACATCTTGACTGTCTGATGGAGGCTGTGATTGCTGTGAATTCTGTTATTACAATGAAGAATCCTTGAGTGAGACTGCAGAGAAGGACGTAAAATACACACACAGAAACAAAAATACAGCACTGATGGGGAAATCATTCAATCATACATCATTTAACTTTTTATGAATTTTATGAATTCCAAGCTCTTTATTCATCTCTTGTCCTAGAGGACTGTAAGGCTTTGGGAATTGATTACAGTTTGAGTTATTCAATGGAGTCAAATACTAGCTGAATTTTGAAAAATTAACATGTTCTATAGACTTTGATTTAAGAACCAAGAGACCCTACGGTAGCTTTATTAAATCCTTAGCTGTTTTGTTAACACGTACTAATATACTTTTAAACAACCTAATGGTCTGTACCAAGCATGTGACTGGTTTTAGCTTTGTAAGCTTTTGGCATTCAAAATATTTAATGTTGATTAACTTAAGACAAATTACACAACATGAGAAATGTACTGGCCTGTCAGTGATATATAACTTGTAGAAATAACTCTGGGTTCAAGCATAAGTCATGAAAGCTTGCATCAGAAGTAGTCATTCAGTGATGGTATGGCAGATGTTTTTAAGGAGGCCCTGAGATCATGTCTGGACTGCTTTTTTACTGTCAATCATCCAGACTATGATGAAAAAGGAAGCCATAAAAAACAGAATGTGGGCACATGAGAACAAGATGATTGTGCACTTCAGTAGTCAGGAGTTCATCAATGTCTTGTCCTTCAATTACAAGGGACTCATGTGTTTTGGAAAGAGCAGGCTCTGGAATTGGCCAGCTTAATGAGTCACAATGCTGGCTAAAATGATTCTGGAAAAAAAAACACGAGAAGTTTTTTTTTCCCTCTTCACATTATTGGTTTGAAACTGTGCTGCAAGACTAGAGCAGACTGGCAGGAGCTTACAGACCACTACTGTAGGAGAACAATACAGTTGAAATGTTTGGGGCATTACAGCCATGACTTTCCAATTTTTAGTGGGCACAGAGACTTGCAAACCCTACGGAATTTTCCAGTGAAGCAAAGAACTACATCATTAAAAAGATGAACTGGTATTTTTTTAAGGAATCTTGTTTGAGCAAAAACACAGAACCTACGTATTGTTTGTAGACAGACTATTTCAAGTCTGCATCTTACCCAGTGGGGTATCATCAAGAACACATTCAACACTGCTTTCTGTTTTGCAGTCTGACGTGGTTGATTCTGCATATGTCACAATGCCGTCACTCTGTGTCTGGCCATCGAAAACGGCCCCCACGGCTTCGTGAGCCCTCCATCCTGCCTTTGATTTCTGTCTCGCGTTAGACAGACGTTTTATTTTTGTAATTGCTAAGCGCTAGCAGGGTTCCACTTGGATTGGAATTGGAAATAGCAGCCTGAGAAAGATTTCAGGCCCACACTGGTGTAAATGTTAGCCTCGGGACTCTCTCTCTCTCCCTACTTGCTAAACGTCTGTTTAGTGCTTGTTTTACCTCTTGCGGTATCCTGGCACGCACAGAGCGAAACAAACTGACACCTGTTTTTATCCCTCTATTACTGGTGGCACAGACATCCAGTTCTTACCCTGCAGGTAGGCCCCTGGAGTATCTCGGTGAGACTGTGAAAGTGTGAGCATAATTCAGGCTTAGCTCTGAAGTTACCATGGAGAACAGCTTGTAACCAAGGTGGACCAATGATCCTCTTTCTGTCTCATTTTCTCAGCCATCCTTGGTTTAATAGAGGGCTATTGTACGACATCCCCTGCATTGTTCTCACATCCCAGCCCGTATAACGATACCCTGAGGCTACAGTTCAGAACAACACAAAGAATATTTGACCTGCCACATACTGTGGTGCATCAGCAGAAGCAAATGCTCTAATAAAGCTACAGTGTGACCTGAGAGTGGTTTGAACATGAAACCTAGTACTTGAATTCAGTCTTTGTAGATAAAAAATCTGTCTTGGCAGAAGTATGTTAGAGGAAGAGGAACTGAGTGACAGCACATTTTTTTTTTATTCTTTCTGTTTTTGAAAATAATTTTTACATCTTATTGGTACAGGACAAGAGGGAAAATGAAACCCTGCAGGAATTCAGGACTACCGCTGGCATATCACTAAGAGTTGCTCTCTTGGTATTTTAAACTCTTTGCACAAGTGAATATTTTCTTGCACACTTTTTGTGTTACATGCGTGTGGCCAAACCCAAGTTTCCTACCAGAAAAAAATCTTAAAGGCCCTCCCATAACCCTTATCCCACGCACTCAGATCTAAAAAAAACAAATATGTAAAATGCTCCTCAGGCCCTGATTTGAGTCCTTTTAACAGTATGCTGTTTGGAAGTTTTTTTTTATTGTTTGCATGCAAAGGCATCAACTCAGAATATTCAAAGAAAAGATGATTTTTTTGATTATTCATTTATTTGAAATTATTTTGCAAGGACTGTGTAATAAAGAATGACAATGCTGGGAAAAAAGAGGATGTTGAAATTCTTCAAGATGAAGCCATTAATAAGCTTTTCTAGCATCTGGTATAGACTTGATCTTGACAATGGGGCCTTCCCTTTCTGTTGTACTTCCAAAGCTCCTCAGCCTTAACCTTGTTAGAATGCTCCCTGCTGCTTCCATTGAAGCCCTGCTATTCTCCAGGATTTCAATACAGGGGCTCTGTGTGGCTCGGATGGCTAAATTGGTGCTAATTGGAACGAGGGCAGGCGTGACACATATTTTTTTACACAAATCTTTGATGAACTGTACTAGATCTTCAAAATTCAAAATCCTTGATTAGCCTCAAGGCTTTTCCTTGTTCAGGAAAGGCAGTGATGAATTATTAGACATTCAATATTTCTGATTTGTGCCATGCACTGTAATTGTGGAAATATGTAGCACTGGGTGATGGATGGTCATATAAAAGCACTCTCCTTCTCTTTCAGCACAGTCAAATTACATTACTAAACAATACATTAACATATTCAATGTTCCATTCATCTATTCATTTTGGGTCGTCTTATTCTGGCAAGGGTTGCAGTGGCAGTATTGACGGTGGATATTTTAATTTAAAGTAAACATTCCACAAACCATTTTATTGGTCTGGGTTTTATTTTTTCTCTTAGTCGTTTCTTTCATTGTTGATCGATCTGAAGTCTTTCAAACCTTGGGCTTCTCTTTCTCTCAGCAATGATTTTTAATTGAACGATGCATACATTCCTTCTATCTTCCTTTTTCAATTGGAGTACTCTCAATCATGATCCTTTTTCAGAACACTGCCCTTCCCTGTGAGGTTTGTGGTAGAATGGAGCCCCTCATTAGTAGGGAAGTATTAACATCACAGTTACTTCCTCTGGAGTGGCTGCCAGTTTGTTCCAGGGTCTTGGAGAAAGGGACACTTTAGCCTAGCCAACCAAAACTGAGCCAGCAGGTCTTTGGAAGGTAGGAGTAAAACTTGAGCACCTGAAGAACATTCTAGAGAACATGGAGCTGGGGGGAACATACAGACTCCGCACAGATAGACATCAGGCACTAACTGCCTTGCTGCCATTCTGTCCCCCCAAATACAATTCTGCCATTAACTTTGACTGGCTGGGGTACAACAATCATGTTGTACTGATTGTCTTAAATTGACTTAAAAGGAATTGAAGAAAATGGATATTTGCATATTTATGAAAGAATAAGGTGCAGCCATGCTGTCTGTTGGAAACTAGACATCTGGTGTTTGTAGAGTAATGGTATTGTAGATGAAATATAATTACAGCAGTTCTAACACAGGATAAATAATAAAACTGAAAAGTAGAGTAGCTGTATACAATCAAAGTTTGAAATTTTCTGAATGTTGCAATTGTGAGATTGTTTTTTTTTATCTTTGGCAGTGAATTTATGATTAATTATACACTTAACACAATGTTATATAAAATGTGGGAGCATATCCCTATCGTATTTAAATAGAAAAGCATTCACACACAAAAGGTTCCATTTTATGTAATTATACCATTCCAGGGAAAGAACAATGAATTCTTTTCGACAGTAGTAATTTAAACCAACTGTGTATTTAGAATTTGCTAGCTCCACTGCAGGCGATACTGCATAGGACTTCAGATTTTCTAGAAAAATTACAGAGAAGTGTTGTGTTTTAGCCCTTGAAATATTGCTTTGTTGAGCACAAACGCCTTATCTTAAAACTCTTCACCCTTCTGTGATCAACATTATTTCATTTGTGCTTATGAACTATATAAAAATATAAAACATTTATAAATATAAAACCTGGGTTATAAAAATACAGTCATGTTTAGAAAATTATATACATTTGTATTTACATTTAAGACACAGCTTTATAGATTTCTGTAAAGCAAAGATTTCTACAATCATTTTATGCTTTGTTTTCATGTGTAAACCTAGAAAACAGAAACCACATCTACTGTAGGTCTGAACTGACTGAACTGCATGGTATTTTTATAGCTTAGTTTAGCCTAGAAATGAGTGCAGAGAACAGTCAGAAATCAAGTTGGTGGGGGTATAGCCCTGAGAAGCAATGAATGCAGTCTCATTTTAAGTCTCTCAAAGGACCATGAGTCAAAGTTATTGGAAAGAATGTAAATAAGATTTTTTTTAATTGTTTGTGGTGGAATGAGTGCTGTCCACAGATGAAAGTGCATCATTCGGGAAAAAAAAAGAATGCTTTGTACCATGAATACAGTAGATTTTTAGGTATTATATATGTTCATACTGTACATGATTTTAATATACTTAAAATATTTGAGCTTAATCCATTGTTTGCTGGATTTGGATTATTTCTGCATTTTATTTGGATGCTTCAGCTTTTAATAACGCTGGGCTTTTTGTTTGGAGAAGAAAGAAAGTTTTTGAATTTGGAGAAATGACCCTTTAGCAGAATCCAGCACCTTCAATGACACACACTCTTTTTATAGCTGCAGTGATAAGTTTTTTAAAAGCTGATAAATCTTAATCATCTGGGAAAGGAAGGCCTCCTAGTACAGGAACACAAAGAAATGCAGGGAATGTGTGTAAGGAGGCATGCTCCTACAGAAGGTCCATACGCATATGCACAGTATAAGTGCAGTACCCATTGAGTACTGTCCCATTTAGCATCACGATGGGGAAAACCAACAGTATCTAGTAATTTAGTGGAGTGCTCTGCCAGCTGCCATGTCCCCCTTAATGCACAATACGCTGCCCACCAGGGGTTTGTGTTTGCATGCATTAAATAACCTAGCTCACGCGCTGGCTGGGGAAAGGACAGCTAATAAGAAGCGGCAATGGAAGACTTTGTCGACCTTCGAAGAGTACAGTGAAGGTGTAGAGACCACAGATCTGCTTTTCTATTTAGACAGAGTGAGAAAAAAATCAGTGTTGCCAGTGTTCCTTCCAGAATCCTACTCTACCCACCTGAATAACTATCTAACCTCACTGTCACTTAATCAGAGTGCGTATAAGAGCACATATCACAGATTTAAGGAGCCTAAATAAAGAGAAAGAGCTACAAACAAAAGTTGTTTCCATATTTGAACTGATCAGCTTTTGTCTAAAAAAACATTATTTTCTTTACAACAAAAACACCTAAGACATAATAAAAATGCTTTTTAGGGATTTCATTCATTTACGGGTCTCCTTTTGTCTGTGTGAGGCAGATGTGATTCCATTTCCAGTCGAATCTGTGGCGTTACCATGCTGTAAGCCGTACAAGTGATCTACAAAAAGCCCCTCTGATTGCATGTGGTGGTTGCAGATGGCAAAGGGTTGCTCCCATGCCAAGTCACATTTATTACACTGCCATGCAATGTGGAAGCCATCTGACCTTTCTAATCTTGCGGCTTTTTCAATGAATCATCCTGAGGAGATGTCGCTAATTACTCCTGCAAATGGAATCTTTAAATTGAAACCTTTTCTCTGATGCAGTTTAACTTTCGCATTGGTGCATTTTAGTCATAAACATGAAGCAGACTTTCCTAGTTTAAATCTTGGGAAGATGGCCAATGGCTAGGGTGAATGAGGAGAAGGAAGGATCTTATTAGTGCTTTTAGTAGTGTAGTAAATCAGTGTAGAAAATGTGTAATTTTGCTGATGACATGCTGACTTGTAGCATTTAGCAGGGGCATAACTGGGTTGGCACTGCAGTCATACTAATAAAACTGATTTAACTACTGTAAGTATTTGTAATGGGAGCCCTTCTCTCCATGGCAATGATCTTCTGAATGAGAAGCCACAGATTGCCATGTTGTTCTTGGTTGAGAAAACGAAACTTTGTTATGCATGGTACCCTACCTCTTATTCTGGCTTACAAAGCAAAGTGTTTATTTCACTCCTGTTTAAAGAAAAAAACTCCTATATGAATTTATCTTCCAATTCTAAGAGTTCTGCTAAGTGCTTCAGCTGGATTTAGATTTGTTCACATTATTGAGCAGTTCTGCCAATCATGTCTCAGATTATAAACCTGTCCAGATATGTCCAGCTGCTCTTATAAATAGATGTTAAACATGGTAGCATTGGAAGACACTGTAGCAGACGTGTTCAGGTGGAATATGTTAAATAAAGAAGATGGGTATTTTCATGAAACTATAATTTCAACCAATTCTCTTTCACCTACATTTTCAAGAGAAGAAACCATTGTGTTCTTTTTTTGGTTTTCTTTAACATTCTGAGTAACCTGTGTAAAGAAAATGATTAAAAAAACATTTGAGTTTAGCTTTCATTTCATTCATAGTTTGTCTGACTTTCTGAGCTGCTATACTCCAGTAAGGGTTGGTTCTGACTTGATATTTAGCTCCATCTAGTGAGTGTGTAAACCTTTTTGAATTGCAAATTGAGATTGAGAGTACATTTGTCAAACAAAAGTGTATTGGAGTTATTTTCTTTCCTTCTCTGTAGGATCTGGTCATTTGTACTTCCCAGTTTTCTCAGCATTTTTACTGCAGTAGTTTAATGTTTTATTTTAGAATGCATGTCATATTATGTTGTCAATCAGAACTTTGCCTTTGCCTATTTTATTTTGGCAAGAAAATAGTTATATTAATGCACAAAAGAAATGGCAACACATAGAACTAATGCATTTAATTACATCACAGAAAATGTGAGCAACAAATAAAATCAAAGAATCCTGATATATATTGTTATAAATCTGCTCAGCCTCTGGACAGACAGCTCTGGGATGTTCTTCCACTCCTTCTGTGCAGCTGCATCCAGCTGGTGATGTCTGGCCAATCAGTTTCCTTCAGTTGGTGGTATTGGCGAGTTGCTCTCACGGATGTTCTGTTGGAATTAGGTCAGAAGAAAAAACTGGCCATGGCATGACCTTAACATTGTTTTCTTGAAATCGTGCCATCATAATCCCAGCGTTGCGTGGTCTTGCATTATCCTGCTGGATAATCAACATTTCCAGATCAGCTCGCAGGATCGGAAAATGTGTTGGCTCCAGGACGTCATCAGTGGAGCTCTGAGCCTGCCCTCAGATTTCACAAAAGATGTTCTTGTGACAGATGTTTTGACAAACAGGCAGTCCCTCTTTCACCATCCCACTTCTTGGTATAAGCAGCTGAAAGCCATGAGATCTTATTGACTTCTGTCAGGACTGTCATGGGCGAGACAATATTAATCCCTCAACAAAACACTCCAACCTTCTCTACTCCCTCCTCAAAAGTTGCGCCAGACCAGACAGGTGTGATAGTCCTGAGCCTTAGACGACCTTCACAGAAGATGTATCCTCAGACCTGAGGTTTCCCGGTTTCTCTACAGTTGTCTGCAGGGGGTTGATGAAGAATATCTGATTCTCTGTTGCAATCTTGATTAATCACATTTATTTAAATTATGTATTTTTCCACGTGTTTTTATACTTCTTTGTTCATTTTGACTATTATTTTATTAAATGCTTTCAGTTCCAAACACAGAGCACATTCAGTTCTATGAAGTCACGTGACTTGAGATTGGTATTTTGTTATCTCAATGAACAGTACTCTTCAGACAATTAACATATCCTGACAATTTAAAATGTAAGTAACATGCATGTGCCCAGTAAGATATTGAAGCAGAACATAGGCTATTGCATTTGCATTGTGCCTCAGAATATATTCTTTTTCCATCTTCTAAATCAAGTTTACTTCGAAGTCCTTCGATGAGTAAGCCAAGATCAACAGCTGTGTCCCATGGAACAAAATTGGAGTATGAGAGTGGAGTGAAATTTAAATTTGATTGAAATTCAATTAAACAAAACTAAGTGTCTTGTTGGTATGAAATCAACTGAATTCAAGCACTCAAAACCGAGCTCATCTCTTCCCAGGACTTCCTTTGTCGGACATCTGGCAGGAATTCTTGTTGGACTGATGTACACCAAGGGGCCGCTGAAGACAATAATGAAAATATGTGCAGGTATTCTCAATGTCTTCTTTTTGTTGGATTTGGAAAACAGAGGTGTTTCGTTTATTTTGTTTGTAAAACCAATTATAATCCAATAATATTATGTTGATCTAGTTTATCTGATGCTTTTTAATGTTCTTTTATGTGTAGGCAGCAAGGCGTAAAAAAAGACTTGATTGTGTCTGAGACAAAACCTGCAGAGCACAGTATCCACCCTTCTGTTGGATCTTTTGGGGAAAAAAACTGCCTTGTGTTTTAGCTTTAAAAGTGATTAACCTTCGGTTAATGTACTTTTTAATATATTTTTTTTAACCAGACAAATCATCTCATTTACACAGTTTTGCATCTGGATATTATCACACTGGTATATTCAATTCTTTCTGACCAATACAGAAGAGTATTTTTTATGAAAGGATATTAAAAGTGCAGTATTTGTTTCCAGATGGCCCATTGTCTTCTACTGTATTTATAACCACGTAAAGCTTGTAGACAGACAAAGGGCTATCAAAAGAACAAAATGAGTTCTGCATGTAAGTCAGCAACAAACCCTGCTAACAATGGCAGGGATTTCTAGATTTAAACTGAAATTAAATTAGCTCTTTTAGTGCTGCACTGCAAGTGATTGCCTTTCCTAATTTTAGAGCTGCATTTCTCAATTTGATTTCTCTGATTAGAAACAATAAACCTCATTTAATTGTTAACAGAATCAGATCGTATCCAGGACTGGGAAATAATTCCAGCTCTTAATTTATCTTCACATAAAAAAAAAATCTGTCTAGAGGAATTAAATACTTCAGTGTGTGAGTACACAGCCAGCAAAAGACATGGGTGATCCTTTTTTCAATTGCACTTTTGAACTCATCTTAACAAATTCAATGTGTTTTGGCATAAGCGGACAATACAAATTTGTCTTTCAGTTAAAATAATTTGTTCTGTTTTATGAATGTTTATGTAGCCTTAAAAAGCATGATAATCTGTGTGGGGAGTTGGTCTTTATCCTATCCTGTTGCCTTTTATTTAGTTTTGAATGCACACTTGAAAATGTCACAGTTGCCACGTCCTCTTTTCCTACCTGTAGGTATCTTTAAGATATTACTGAGTTGTCCTCTCTGGTCCAGGTCCTCTCAAGCAGAATTCACCTCAACACTTTCCAGCATCTAAGGTTTTCAAAGAAATCAGAAAAAATACTTAATAATTCCTTACACTTACATAGCACTTTTCTGGACACTCCACTCAAAGCCATTTACAGGTAATGGGAACTCCCCTCCACCACTACCAATGTGCATCCCCACCTGGATGATACGACAGCAGCCATAGTGCACCAGAACACTCACCACACATCAGCTATCAGTGGGGAGGAGAGCAGAGTGATGAAGCCAATGCACAGATAGGGATTCACAGGAAATCTGGCCAGGACACCAGGGTTTCACCCCTACTCTTTTTGAAAAACGCCCTGAGATTTTTAATGACCACAGAGAGTCAGGACCTCAGTTTAATATCTCATTCGAAGGATGGCGCCTTTCTATGGTATAGTGTCCCTGTCACTATATTGGGGCATTAGGATCCACATAGAGTGCAGGGGGAGCATCCCCTACTAGTCCCACTAACACCTCTTCCAGCAGCATCCTTAGTTTTCCCCAGGAGGTATCCCATTCCGGTAACTGACCAGGCTCACACCAGCTGAGCCTCAGTGGGTTGCAGGGTGATACTTATTGGTTTTTCTATTGCACTTTTCATTCACTTGCACATAAAGCACAGATGTCTCTTCCGTTTTGTGCGATTTTGCACCATTTCGTCAGTTACACAGCAGATTGAATGGAGAAGAAAGAAGTTACTGCACCAATTAAAGTGATGGGGAAATTTTGGTATTGACTTGTATAGACTGATCTGGAATTCAGCCAGGACATTGAGCGTTATCACCCCTTCTCTGGAAGAGTTCCTTGGTATCTTTAATAACTGGAAGTGATGAGGACCCCAAAGTAATATCTCATATGAGGGACAGTATTTTTCTATAGCACAGTATCCCCTGTCACAATACCTGACATTTCCTGAGGCTTTTGCACCTACTAGTCCATCAGCACCAGTTTTGATAGTAATCTGTAGTGTCGGGAAGAGATTTATTTGGGTAGCATTTTTTAAAATATAAAATACTACTCCAATTTTTTTAAAATCATTTAAAAATGTTTTTTGCTTTATTTTGTAGGATTATTTTCTCCTAATGGATATAGTGGTGGTCAAAGATACTACTACAACTCCTCAGGTAATAGTTTTTGTATATTACATATATATCTGTATAATTTCTTTGTAATTTATTTTTTAATGAGTGGATGCATAATTACAACAATAGCAAAGAAAACAAAAAAATAATATTTTTAACACTATATCCTGTAAGTGGATACTTACATTGCATTGCTACCTTGCAGAGCTGTGGTCTTGGGGAGCATGGATTTTATGTGGGGAGCTATATGCATGGATTTTACATGTTCAAGTGGGTTTCATCTGGGTGCTCTACTTTCTTTCCACAGTCCAAAGACATACTGGTGTGGGTGTGCATGTCTGTGTTTATGTCTGTGTGTGCCCTGTGATGGACTGGCGTCCCACCAGGGTGTACCCTGCCTTGCACCCAGTGCTTCCCAGGATAGGCTCTGGGCCATCGTGACCCTGAATTGGGTAAGCGGATATACATCCTGTATGATTTTATACACCCTCCCCCCCATGTACAGGTATATACAGTTGAAAGGGGATGGCGGAGGAGCTGGGTGAATGCAAAGAGTTTTAATTAAGTGTAGCAGGCAAAAAAATAAAAATCCAAAAAAGGCATGGTGATTCAATTTGGCAGAAGAGGAAAGAGTTGATACCAATAGGCTCACTAAGAGTGCACTTGGTTTTCTAATGTGTTAGGTTCACAATGATGACTAATTTATTGACTGTGGGATGCTGGGGAAAATGGAAGAATAGATTCTCAGCTTGCTTCCAATTTACCAAGGGATGACAACAGGGTAAAACCAATTCAAAATCTATAGAGCTTGACTGAGAAATTGTCGTCAGGTACCGTGCCAGAGATTGCTGAAAGAGGTCAATCTGTTTATGCCACTTTAAACAGACTGACATGGTCGACTAAGCTGTTCCCATCACCTTTCCATTTAAAGAAGTGAGTCAAACTGATCACACGTGTCTCTGGAAGCCAGGAGGACACTGCAATGTCTGGAAGCAAACCCATGTGAACATAAGGAAAACTTTCAGACTCCTTACAGTTGGATACCCAAGACCACAATGGGAACCCTCTGGAGCTGTCATGACCAATACTGATATTTGGGGACTATAGAAATTTCAGAAAGAGGTTCAAACAACTCCAAAATATGGCTGAATCGTGGACCCAATATACCCAAATCGGTCACACTGGTGAAAAATTAGAGTAAATTAAACTGATTTCATTTTGCGCATATGAATATAACAGATTCTTGAATCAGGGTGTTAATGACACAGATTAAATAAAGATGCACCGAAAACAAAAATAGTAGGGTTTTGAGTTATCAGAGCCTTACATTTTATTTGTTCATATTCATATTCATTTTAATGTAATACTTTTTTATTATACACTATTAAAAAAAAGTGGCTGTACATTTACAAGACTCATGAACTTTCCGTGGCAAAGTGCCCACATAACTGTGCAGCACAACTGGGAAAGAGACATACCCAAACAGCTCTAGCATTGGGACTTCTGTTTTATATGTTTTTATTTGGAGCGGATTAAATCTTGTCACTTGGAATTCAATTGAAACTTTTAGGGTCTTACGTGCTGGAGGGATAAAATTTGAAAATTGAAACACAAGCTTGTAGTCTTGTCAGATTGCCTCCCCTTATTTCAGCTCAAATCACTCTTCCGTGTCCCGACCTGATCTTTGGCTTTTACTTAACCTTGGATCTGAATGAATGGCCATTTGGATCACTTGAGGTGATAACATGCAGTCCTGCCTATATAGTGCAGTGTGCAAGTGAATAGAAAGAATGACCGCACAGCTTGTTGAACCTAGAAATAATAATTATAAAATCATTCTTATCACACTGAGGGTCTGGCAGCCTTGACAGCAGCAGCAGGTGATAACATTGCACAACAAATGTGAAAGTGAAGGAAAAGACGTTCTGGGAGTAAAAACCCGACCAAAGAGCTGATCTTAAAGATGAGAGGAAAGTTACAGGACTCCCGTGCAGCCCCACCGGTGAAGGTCAGGGCTCAGAGCTGGGACGTCCCAGACAGTAGTGGACAATTGACAGACTGCCTCCAGGGGGAAAAGAGGATGTGCGCCAAACAGGGCCACTTTGCTAAAAGGGTTGTCCCGAGACTTTCTGGGAGCCTGTAAAGTGGTTGACATGAGAGATGCTGGCCCGTGCGGTTTGTTCAACAGCAAGTCCGTACGTGTTCTTTCTCTACATACAGCGCGGCAGTTATGGCCTTAAAGTCTTTTATTAAATTGGTCCGTTCCAAATTAGGATGGTATAGGATTAAAAAAATATCACTGGCGATTCCAGTATATGCAGGAAGAAATTCAAGATGTTGGCGAATATTTTTCATTAAGACCTTTGTAGCAGTAGGTATTATATAAATGTTTACAAAGATGTCGTCATGAAAACTGGAGGATGCAAATGCTGCTTCCACTGGGGGTTAGTGCTGGCTCTACTGTGCTGCGGTATGACCCCTTTGCTTGCCTTAATCAAGTCTGAAAGCTGTGATGTCATTCCCGAATTTCTGGATTTCAACCAGCCCGGCTACACTGGAAGCCAGGTTTAATCTTGGACACTGGAAGGTCACAGCTTGAGCATATTAGAGTGCAGAGCTAGCAGTCACAGAGCAGGATTTTTCAGTGAGAGAGAGAGAGCCTGGTCTCATTCTCACCCTATTCTTTGGATTGAAACTGATGGGGCAACACAATAGCATTTACAAATGCACATTTGTCCAATGCATCTAAATCTGTTGCTAAGAGCAGATAGTGACAGATGTTAAGAATTACATTAAAGAGAAAGAAAATCTTTTTTTCATTTCTTTCTTAGGTCACGGTGGGTAAACAAAAGAAATCTTATTTTAAGCTTTCCTTGATTGATTCTTCTTTGATGCGCACAAACCACATGAAATGAATGGCACATTGGGAGGCTTGAGTCACTGGGCTCTGCTGGTACCTTGGAAAGCTTCTGTGGCCTGTTAGTCATGACTGTAACCTTTCAGTGCATCATTTTATAGAATTGCATTCCAACTTTTATGGCTTCATCCTGAACCGAGGGTTTTCAGTAATTTATATTTAATGTAATACATATTGTCAAACCAAAGTTATCTGTCAATTAAACCTCTTCTACACTTATCGAATTCCCATTTATCTCAGCAAGAGCTGCAGTAGTTAACAACAAGATATTCCAGGGAATTGACTAATCTAAAATTCAGTGTACTAATGCTTATGTCTCCGTAGAGGATGACTAGAAGAGTATTTCAGTTTAATTATTCTTACATCCTATACAGTAATATTTAACAAATACAGCAGACCTAGAAAACTTAAACTTAAACTTAAACAATGCAGTCATTCCAGTAGTGAATAACAGTACAGAGTCATTGCTAACCTCACGGTGATATCCCTGTCGAATTTCTTCCTTGCCTGGATGCTCAGTTTGGATGAATAGTCTGATCTAAGCAGTGTCTGGGTGGTACAATACACCTTTCACTTGTTAATGATTGACTTCAAATGAAATCACGTTAATATTCTATGTCAGTAATTTTAAGACCCTTCTTAAAATAAGCCCTGAATTTTGAAAGCTCCTTGGTCTTCATGGTTGAATCGTTGAATCTTTGCTTGAAATTCACTGAATGAGGGACCTGTAAAATGACTGGCATATGTTTTCTGAAATCATGTAATCTACCATTATTGCATACATGTAGAGGCTGCTCGATTAACTGTGTGGCTTGTCAAAGTAAAGTTTTTGCAAAAAGAGTTAAGTAAAAAAAAATATTTATTAATTATTTGATATTCAACAAAAAGGAACATCATTTTTCAGCCAGTGACAAGAAGCTGCTCTTTGCTTGGGCAGGAGAATAAAAGGTGGGGTCTGAACAGGCATAGGAGGAGGTGCTTCACAATTTCTTTATCCAATCCAGGCTTGGACGCTCATGGTCGCAGGAGTAACACAGCACATGGGGCCCATGTGCTCTGTTACTCCTGAGTAATGCCATCATCCCTCAGTGGCACAGGACAATTTTAGCGTAACTAAACTGAAGCTAAGCAGGAATGAGCCTGGCCAGTACCTGGGTGGAAGACCTCCTGGGAAAGCTAAGGTTGCTCCATGAAGTGTTAGAGGGGCCAGTAGGGAGCACTCACCCTGTGGTCTGTGTAGGTCCCAATACCCCAGTATAGTGATGGGACGCTGTACTTCAAAAAGGTGCTGTCCTTGAGATGAGACATACTATAAAACTGAGGTCCTGACTTTCTGTGGTCATTAAAACTCCCAAGGCATTTCTCAAAAAGAGTAGGGGTGTTACCCTGGTATCCTGGCCAAAATTCCCATGGGCCTTTACCAGTCATGATCCCCTAATTCATCACTCTGTTCTCTTACCGACTGATAGCTGATGTGTGTTGAGCATACTGGTGCACTATGGCTGCTGTGGCATCATCCAAGTGGGGCTGCACATTGGTGGAGGGGAGTCCCCATTACCTATAAAGCACTTTGAGTCCAGAAAAGTGCTATGTAAGTGTAAGGAATTATTAATTATTTTATCCGCCACTTGGTATAAGGGTGGTCACTGGCAAGATAGCCACCTGAGTTGCTGTTCCACCCGCTATGGGCACCACAGGTACTTTGTACCTGGTGTTGTGAGCGGGCGAATAATTTTGTAAGGCACAGCATATGATCTGTATTTAACCCCTCAGCCAAATAATTTAATCTGGTTAATTTGCTCCAGATATTATTGGCTGATATGACTCCAGCTAATAGTATGTATATCTCCTGGCATCAGGATCCTCACTGTCACATATCCTGTTGGGGGGCAGTGAAATATTAGAGTGCTACTGCACTCTTGATGTGCTCAAGGCTTCTTGCTTTCATCTTTGGGGTCTTTCAGCAGAACCTCGAAGGAGGGTGACTTTTGGAGGTGGTGGGAAAATGTGGTAGTCTTTTGTTCGGTGTATGGAGCAAAATTAATTTGATTCCAAAGCAGCAGTATATTTTCTATAACCTATGGGCCAAAAGTGTACATAATATTCTAAATGAGGCCTTACTAGTGCATTATTAAATTTTAACTTAACATCCCTTGCTTTAAATTTCACATGATTAACTGTATATCCTAGCATTTTGGTTTCCTTTTTAACTGCTTTCCTGTATTGTTTTGAAGATGTAAACATTTTTTAAGCCTACGTTTTTCCTAAGTAGCCTCTTGTAGCACAGTCTTTTTCATTTGTGTTTATAGTTTGTTTTTACTACCTGAATGGAAAATCTTGCTTCTGTCGGCCTTAAACATCATATGCAGGTGTTTGCCTGTCTGTAATTTGTGGCTTGATAGACTGTTTAAGGGCGCCACAGTGGTAGTTAAAGGCGCGGTAGTTAGTGCCATGTTCTCATGGGTTTCATCCGGGTACTCTGGTTTCCTTCCTCAGTCCAAAGACACACTGGCTTCTGGGAAAATGGTGTGAGTGTGTGCGTGTACAGGTGTGTGTTTGTGTGCCCTATGATGAATTGGCATCCCATTCAAGATATACCCTGCCTTATACGCATTACACACATTTGTGTTCTGGAAGCAGATGCCCCAAGGAAAGAAACTTCAGAGGTGAGAACACCTTGTCTAGATCAGTGCTCTGTGGCAAGTACACAGCCTATTCACAATAATAGTAAATAACCACCTCCCTTGTTTTAAGGAAAAAGGCATCTATTGATCAGGTAGAACCATGGGCTACTCTGAGCCCTTGAGGGTACATTTTTGCTGAATTGGTCCTGATAGCAACTCTGCGTGCACTATGAGATTCTTGGATAAATGTTTATTGTCTTCTTTAAAGATATCAGTAAATACTGCTGAGTATAGAAAATACGCCCACTTACAAAGTTAAGAAAAGTGGTCCATTTAACCCATCTTGCTCATTTGAATTTCAAGTACTACTGTACAGTAATTGATATCAGGACCTCATCTGATTATTTTTTGAAAGAAGCAATGGTATCGGCCTTGAAAAACATAGCTGGTTAGCTTTTTCTAGTCTCTCACAACCCTTTGTGTAGAGCAGTGCCTCTTTTTTCTCAATATGAAATGTACCTCTCCCTTGGTTTTTACTGGTGTCCACTGGTTTGTCTCTCACTGTTGATTCAGAAGAGGTCCACTGCGTTAACTTTGTCTGTGCCTTTGATATTTTATTTTATGAGCTAAAATAAACTGTTTTCACACCTGTTACAAGGAAATGTCTTGAAGAAACTTGATCCTTTATAAATTTCTGTATGTTATGCGCTAATTAAACAGACTCTTAGCAGTTTGCATAAGTCCACTTGAGCCCGAGCCTTCCCAAAGAAAAAAAGAGAAACTTCACACGTACTGTAAAAATGTTGTGAGGGTCAAACACAGTAGATAAGACAGTAAAAAGACTTTTACTGCTTGAAAAATATGTCAGCAATAAAAAGTGATGAACCTCAGTCAGGAAACTGCTCCCTGTTTTATTTGTTAATGGAACCCAGAAGTTTAACAAAAACAACATGTGGCTGTTTTGTTTTTCTGTGTCCATAATCCTTAAAGTGTTCCACTTCCTTTTTCCTTTGTGTAAACTGAGTACTCTGTAAGCGCCTGTGCTTCTCCTGACAGTAATGATAACCATTCTACTGTGCAATAACTGATATTAACTTAATTATTGAGCATTAAGTGAACTATAAGCAGAGAAGATTAGATGCTGGTTACAATTTTTATTGATGCATTTGTCGAAGACCTCATGATTCGAAACATACATATACAGTATGTTTAACATATATACACATAAACATATATCTTGAAGTGTTTTTTATGAAAAGGTCATCTAATGTTGCATGTCACAGGTCTAAACATTTGTCAACATTGCTGTTGTTATTACAAAATTGTAATAAAAAGCTGCATTAATCTAAAGTGATAAGGAAAGACTTGATCAATGACAAGACTGTAGTGTAAGTATAGTTCATTTGAAGGGCGGAAAATACTTCACACAGGGTGAATACATCTACTGGCGAATTCTTAATATTTGAACTAATCTGAGAACAATTTATCCTAAATGCAGAGTCAACTGCAGTTCAGTATGATTATGTGTTTTATAGAGTTTTGTAGAATTGATATGTACCTTATGTTTCAAACAGCAAAGCAGATCAGCCTCTTTAGTTTCAGTCAGTTATTCACCATTCATAAATTAATCTTAGCGATTAACAGTATTTGGTTTTAATTACTTATGTGGCAGGTTTGTTAAAGAGAGGGAAGTAATGCAAACTGACCTGCCACTAGAGGTCTCTGTATAGCCTCTAAATTATTGTAAATAGCGGGGGGTTAATTTGGCAATTATTAGTTGATTGGTAAAATGCTTTGGAATTTTCCCTTGTGTGCAAGTAAACTTTTATTTGGTATAAAAAGAATGATAATTGTGTTACTGTGGGTGTTTTATTTTTGGGCCCGTAAGACAGACTCTTGGACTGTATTTCCTGTTGCCATTGTGAGATTTTGTGCAAGCAGACCCTTGCTCCTGCCCTGGTCTGTCACACGGGGCTTTATAGTTTAACGTCAGTTCTGTGCTGTGTGCAACCTTCCACAAGGTTTTAAAGCTGAGCTTTGTTAACAATTAATTCAGAAACAAATAAAAAATCTGTATTTAAATGTGCAGAGAAAAGGTTTTTGTTGTTTGTTAAGCTCTGACACCTTAGGACTTTGAATTAGACTGATGGATACATGAAAGTATATTTCTGAAGGTTTTGAAATATTCTGCTTGTTATCAGCTCAAGAAAAGTGACAAACCAGAGGAGGCCAATCAGCCCATCTTGACCATTTAGTAGTAATTATCTAATTGTTAGTGGTTAATTGATCCTAAGAGCTCATCCAGCCATTTATTCAAAGAAGCCAATGTATCGGCTTCAACAACAGCTGGTTAACTTGTTCTGTTAGTCTTGTTCATTTTGTCTGTCAGTGTAGGACATTCATTTAAGTCTAATTGTGTATCTTAAGTCTAATGTAGGTTGTCCTCATTTAGATTGGTTCTAAATATATATATATATTTAACGGGTTACAAACATTGTGCATTCCTTGAATTGGAATTTACTTTAAATCTATATTTTACAATTAGTTTTTATTTTTTATTGTTTCCCAACATTGTCTAGAATAGTTCAGATGGGTAGCTGCGTCAGCATGCGTAGTCTGCAAAGGAACAAGTAATAGGTTTATTCCATGCTGAAAAGAGAAGACAGAAAACACAACGTTTCGGGTGTGAAGCCTTCTTCAGGTGTGAGAAAGACAGGACAGACAGCAAAGATGAAATAGCACGGAAGAACAAAAGCTGGGAGAGGGGAGGAGGCAGGAGGGGCAGAGAGGCCACTCAGGAAGTGCAAAGTGGGGAAGAGTGAAGAAAAATTGCCTAGAATATGTAAATTATGTGTCAACAGAAACGCATAAATCGAAAGTAGCATTTAATAATGCAGTGCTTTTCGTTTAGTTTATGTTTTTGCTACCTGCACCATGGATTATTGGGTTGATTTGGCGAGACTGCTTGCAGGACAGTGTGGAGATCATGTATGTTAAAATATTTCAGAAGGAGAAATGTCTCTGATTAACTAAAAGAAATGAACAGGAAAACATTTTATTTTCCTTCTGTCCTATAGGTTACAGTGGTTACCGAGGTCAGAATCAATCCAGGCCTTACGGAAACAACAATTCTGCCCAGGCCTATGGCCATCCTTCATGGTATGACACATATACAGGAGGACTGAGCGAAGAGGAGCAGTATGAAGCCGCTCTCAGAGCTAGCGTGCACCAAAGGGGTAAGTGTCTCCTTTAATCTAGCACAAAGGCAAGAAATTGGAACACGACGGAACTAGCATCTCTCCTTTAGGTGCTTTAAATAACCACCAATTCTTCTCAAAGTATTTTACAGTCCTGTGGACATGGACTGTAATTAATCAGCTTCACGCGGAAGCTGTGCTTTTCCAGTTTGGCCCCATCTGTGCTTTTCACAAGAGTCAGTAAAGTAAAGGAGAAATGAAGGAGATGGGTGGGCAAGGTTCCTTCTGAAACAATAAAGTTCGATAAATTTAAAATCATAGACCGATGAGTCCCAGGCTGAAATGAACAAAGAACTGAGATAGTGTTTTTTTTTTATTATTTTTGGCTCAGGCACACTTACGCCTGTCTTTTGGTTTACAAATTGTAGGAAAAGTTCATAAGTCTGCCCACTCGTTGACTTTAATAGTATTTTGGCTGTGTTTCACAGCAGACCTGTTGTAAAGTAGCAGTGCCTCAGGGCAGTAACTGCCTCGTTTTGTTTAGATTTGCTACCAAGTTCATTTCCTATGGTCCTTTGATTGCTTCCTTTTTGTGCAGAACAATGGAATTTATTAGATTTTGTTTCCCATGGAAGTTTTTTTAAACTTTTTTAAAAAAATATGTATTGCTGACTTAATCAAATCTAGTTCAACTACTGGTGCTGCTGTAATAGGTTAATCCGCACATTAGGTTAATTTTTAGTAAGGGCCTTATATTTGTATTAAGCTGCAGAGAGAAGATTGTTATTATCTTACAAATACTTAACCCTCAAAACAAAAAAACCCATTAAAAATATTAATCCTTCAAAATCCTAAAATTTCTTCACTTGCCTTCTGCTCCTGTCAGATTTTTGGTATAAAAGATCATATCAGTGAAACAAAACTCTAGTCTAAAATGTCTAAATTTATGGTATGTAGATTAGAATACATTAGGGTATTGAACAAAGCAAAGCAATCACAGATCAACTCATTTTCAGTTTTAACTGATTAAATAAGACTGTGTTTAGCAATACAGTGTAAGTTGTTTATGCATATGTAACCATAGTGTCAGTTCCTGATCCCCCATGCTACTGTAGAAGCAGATGTGTTAGAGTTCATGTTGAAGGACTTCTTTCACAGCTGGTAAATCAAATACCTCACCAGAATTTTTGCATTGTCTGCCTTTTGAAGTATCAGCACTACAGCGTTCTCATCAAATTCAATTTTAACAGTAAATTACATTTAGGCTGAGCAGAAGGTCTGTGCTCCAGGTCAGGGCTAAGATTATCTGTATGGCTCCCAGGCAGCTTTGGCACCAGCAAACATATCATATAATTCACAATTCTATTACACCTTGACTTTCCAAAATATCCATCATAATGCTGGTCTGGAATCTGATAAAGAGAGAGACCAAATGTTGTTGTTACATTTTTCGATATTTTTTGTTTGTAAAAGATGTGTCCAGCAAGCCTAAATGTTCACATGTACACTGTGGTTGTGTTGCAGGACCTGGTTGTAAGGAATAACCTGGTTGTGTAGCAGGACCTGGTTGTATCACAGACCCTGGTTGTGTTGCAGGACCTGGCTGTGAGGGATCACCTGGTTGTGTAGCAGGACCAGGTTGTACTGTATCTCAAACCCTTGTTCTGAAGGATGCCCTAGTGGCACTTGGCCAGTTTTACACCCTCAGTTGGAGAATACCAACCATTGTTGGCTGTTGACATGGCCCATATTGGAACAAGTACTCTCTGCTCCGCTGGGCCCAGCCTACCTTCTGGGAGCCTGTCCCATTGGAGCCAGTTGGCATATCATGAACTTGTGTTTTAAAGTTTTAAATCTTCTTTTTAGTGCTGTGTTGCAGTGCTGAATATGGTCATTAAACATGCTATTTTATTTGCCATTTGTCTTCCTTCATTCTGTTGTTTCCTATCATACTTAAACATGAAACTTATGAAGAAGTGCTATTTAATGATTAAGTAATGGCAATTAAACATATAATAGGTTTTTGAGTTGTTGCTGAATTCTCTCATTCTGATTTCTGTTCATTTGGGGGGCGTCACTTGCAACATGAAAATAAATTTGGAACTGAAAATATAAAAACATATAAAAATGAATGTTGTGACACAATCTAATATAGCGTTTACTTTTAGACTAAACTCTTTTACAGTTTTCTTCCTTGCTAACTCCTGTGCCTTGCGCAGTTACTACATAAAGGGAAAATAATCACTGTGGCACTGTAAAAAGGAATATTTAAAGACAATCTTTTTTCTGACTGATCACTTTTGTCTGCAGTCTGCACATGTGGTTAGATTCCTGAAAAGAAATGTATTTATTAAGTGTTATTCAGAATCTTTTTGATCCCTCATCTTTGGAGCCAGCTCTGTATTTAAAGTTTCATTCAAAGCTGGACCCAAAGACCTGGCATTTATTACCCACCTTTGTTTCACAAGAGAAACAGTCTTCAAGGCACAGGGCAGCTGCTTGTCTTTTCTAGCCACATGACTGGGGGGGGGTTATTCCGGTTCTAATAAGCAATTAGCTGGTTCTTCCTAATCATTTAGCTTGCATAATGAGATAAATGAACTACAGCCATTTCTGAGGATGTCTGTTGATTAAAAGCTTGCATATGGTTATTGTTGATGAGGAAAAGTCCTTTATTTAATCTCAATGTTGAAGTCTTTTTTTCCAATAGTGAACAATTTTATTGTGGTAATGCTGCTTTCAAAATAATATTTGGTCAAGGGAGCTCAGTGGTTTCCTTTGTAATCCACAGGCCAGTTATTTGACAATAACATGTTGTACAGTATGTCTGAAGACAAAGGGAAGAATCAAGAATTAACAGTAAAGGCAATTAGTTTGGAGTGCATTAATTAATTGTAATTATGAACACCAAATTAGTGGATTCCTGATGATGAGACAGATTTAGCATCTGTATTGTTTTGCCATCTGTAATGTTTAATTATAATATAGAGGATAGGGAATTCCAAAGAGAATTGATTAATATTCTGTAATTATCGAGCAATGCATTGATGTCACATTAGTAGAATGCACTGTAATAAAAAAACTTTATATACCTTTAAAAGTGTTTTTCTGGTTGCTTAACAGAACAATGAGGGGCACATAGAGCCAGTTAAATAAAAGCCCTTCTAAAAAAGAACGTTTTGAGTCTTAAATTGAAAGAGCTCAGGGAAGGTGACTCATTAGGGAATGAGTTTCTGAGCTTTGGGGCATAACAGGAGTAGGCCCTGTCACCCAAAGAGTGTAGACGGACTTGTGGAGACCTGAATTAGAGGAGCAGAGGTTGCAAAGTGAGGAGCAGGATGATAGAGACTCAGAAAGGTGTTGAAGTGCCATGGCCTGCAGAGCCTAATACAGTAGATGAGCATGAGAATTTGGAAGTTGACACAAAACTTGACAGGAAGCCATTGCACAGTAGAGCCACTGTAAGTGTTGTTTCCTTCATGAAGGATCACTTACCATCACTGACATGTTATCACTTCATTTAGGAGTTGACAGCCATACAGTATCAGTAGCTATATCGAGATAGAAGCTGAGGCCTGAGTCGGTACTGTAGGCTGAAAACATTTTAAATACAAAATCTGTCATCATTAGGAATGAATGGTAAGCTGGCAGTATGATGTATAAAAATAAAAAGTATAGAGCTTTTTTAAATGTTTTGTCAAGAATAATGAATACAAAAGAAAATGAACATAAATAAAAACTAACATGAGTAATATTTTCTGTTCAGCCCTTGCATAGTGGAAATTCTGTTCATATGGGTAGTTTGGTGCAGAAACAAAGGGAAGAAAGCTCATCATTTTCTTTATGCTCAAATACTTAATATCGTAATTTGTTCCAAAGGCAGTGGTGACCACACAATTATTTAAGAAAGAAGATGATATGCTTCCCTCTGCAGGCACTGTTGGACCCTTCCAATCCATCTAATTGCGGAAAGGTGTTTCATCATCAGCGTTATTGATGAGCAGGAGTATTAAATTAACAGAAAAGGCTCTTATTGTATTTCAATACTGCTGTAGATGAGATAGTCTTCTGTTTAAAAGCTGTGCTTGACAATTTGGTAAACGTGTAAAGTATGTTACAAAAATAGTTTGTTTTTTTTTGCTGGACCACACATTTAATCCCTTCCCACCATAAAAATCAAGAATCCATCCATTATTATCCCTAATTATAGATTGTCCTTCCATTGGGTTCAGTTTGAATTTATTTCATTATTAGCTTGTTAGTCTTGTGCTCAATACTACTTAACTGAGGGCACAACCCATACACGTATTAACAAATTAATTAATAATTGTGTCTTCCCCATACCTCAGTTCAAACCCAGTGTCATTTGGTCACATCACTCTAGAAACGGTATTTCTAATTGATCAGTCAAATAATTATCCTGTTGGTAAATATATACTTGTTAACATGTGTTTTTAAATGGAAATGATTCTGCCACTGCATGTCAGTTGAAGACTGTGTATCAGTTCAACTGTGGTTTGCAATGTCCCAGTGAGTGTTATCATAGAAGTACACCATGGGTCACTGACAGAGCAGGCACAGCTGAGGTGATATATACCATATGCTTGTTTTATTCTTTTTAAATTGCCACTTCAAACACACAGCACACATGTTGTGTAACCATAAGTGGCAAGATTTTTCCATGGGGGTATGTAATTGAACATTTTTCATCCATTTTTGGATCACCATACAGTGCTTTGAAAGTGCACGTGTTTCATTTGTGATGCAATACATATCAGAGTTTTGGAAAACAATGAAGGTTCAGTGAGAGTGCTTTGGGTACATGAGACCAAGCTCTCGAACAGGGAGAGTGGTACCTCATTGTTATGCAGGACGCTGAACAAAATCAGGTTGAGCTTCTGTTTTCATCAATGGATTAACACCATTCCAAAGGCTTTTTTCACTCTGCTGCCTATTTTATACTGACTAAAGTGTCACACAGAAACTGCCAGAGTTAGGAACTAATCCCTTGCCTGACTGCAAATCCAGTCAGACAATACCAAAGTACATATTCCACAGTGTGCCTGCTTCTGCTGAGTTTACATGTGTTTCATAACAACAAAAATCTGCTTACTAGACAGATGCGTTTGGAAAAATTGGGCTGTATTTTTCTCCAGTTGTGCTGGAGTTTGTATTTGGAGTTGGTGCCATCTGCTGGATTTATTCCCCACTTTTCCATTACAATATTCTCCCTTATTTAGTTCAAAGTATTTTGTTCAAAATTGGAATTTAACTTGGATAAAATGTGAAATTTAATTCCAAGATCAAGTCAGGAAGTCTTGATTTTAATAAAACTTTACACTTTTTCTTTTAAAAAAAATCTGGTAATGTTGTTGCTTATTCTGAATTCCAGTGCCCGTTCTCCGTGTTCTGCCATAAAAAATAAAAATTGCCACTTAGGATCTTTCCTTGTGGTAATCCAATATTTATACTAGCTCCCTTTCAATTTCTTTGTAATGTTAATTATAACTCTGACAGGTTGTTATTTTAGGGGGATGAGGTACTTAAAGTTAATGTTCTGCCTTTTGTTTTGGACTAGAATTCAGGCTCTTCTGGAAGGTCTGATTGGCCACAGTTGGAAGACCAGGTGTAGATCATCCAGAATGAAATTTGCAATATTGTTTATTGTGGATGCTGAAATCAGCTCCTCTGAGGCTATGTGTTAATAGTGTTTTTCTTTGACCAATTTGCATGTGGTAGTTGTAGAAATAGTATTGTGTGTTTCAAAATGTCTGTGTCTGGTTACTGTTCTGTAAGTTATGTTTTGTTTTATGACAAGGGGTAATGTTTTCTCTTTCCTACCTTTAGTTGGATAACAAGTCTTTCTCAACTTTTTGTTTAGGTGGCTACCAAGAGGGAAGGCCTCCATATGGCTTTAATATCCCACCACAGTCATCGACTGCAGAAGAGATAAGACATAGAAGACTGAACAGATTTGCAAGGTGAAGAAGAGGACATTTAAGTGTCTATGAACAATAAATGGGTTGTGTGTGTTTTTGATATAAATTACAAGCTGACAGATGTTGAGTAAAAAGTGTGCTTGAGTATTTCTTTCAGTTATTACAACATTGAACCAAAAAAAAAACACTTATCTCTGCAGATCTCTGTTGCCTGCCTGTACCAGCTAATAGTTTGCATTTTATTATGCGAGAGAGGGATATATAGGATAGTTGCAATAAATAGACGTAGCTGCGATTTGGCCGGCACTATGTTGGAGCTCATGCCAGTCAACCAAGTAATAAGACGTTTGTGGACATATGTGTATATTGTATGTGTGTTCGTGACCTGTAATATACCAGTGATGTACAGATAACTGGAATTTCAAAGATACAAGTTCAAAGCCTGCCATCAGTTTAAACCTGAGTGTTCATGTTTTTTTACAGTAGTGACTGGATGAGTGTGAAGAACAAATCAGCATGAATAATTCAATTTTATTTAGTAGCAATGTTAAAAAAAACTAAATTTTCTAAAAAAGCCAGGAGCCTCTCCTTTACTTTCAGGTCTTAGTGCAAGGTGAAGACAGCGCATATTCTAAAGTGGAAACATATATCATTAAGTTGTTCGCTCTACATAGATCATGACAGAGTAATTTTACAACATTTATGAAAATAGCTTACATTGGCAGATTTCTAAACCTGTTAATTGCTACTTATAACTACATTATAAGTAGTTATTTCTTTCTTTAAAAGATGGGAGACTGTTTTGGGGTGTGAGGTCATGCAGTTTACACTTTCTAAGTACATACTATAGGAAGAATTGTTAACACAGAAGTAGCCATTACATTTCCATCACCAATCGATAACCATACAATGAACTGGCAAGGTACCCAGATATAGACACTGTATTAATGTTTTCTTATTGTGCCTTATGGGTTATAAGGGCTTTATACATGAATTTGCATCACCTTAAAAAGTATTACTAGAAACTGTTTACACTGTCAAAATTTGTTCATAAACTGTTAAATAGTAGTTAATAATGGGGTTTTCAATCAACCATTCTAGTTTGATATTCTTTGTAACTGAAAATGTAAAAAAAAATAAATGTACGTTTTTTAATTTTACATAAAAAGAATTGGTTTAATAAATTTTCTGACCTAAAATCCATGACCAAGTGGTGAGATGTACAAGTGTTCTTGTGTGATTCTTTGTGGATGAAGAAAAGGAATTTGGCTTGTTAAAGAAAACGCATATCATTTACAGAGTGTTACATTATCACAATCAGTGATGAAAAACTTAGGCTTTGCATAATGGCATTTATTTTTCATGGACAATAATGATGATAATGAATACAGTATACAATGGTAGCATTTCCACTATATTCTCAACTGTTCTCTTGTTTTCATGCAGAGAAATAACTCAGGAAAATTTCCTGACATTATCCACTTGATGAATGCTTCAACGCTGTCTGCTTAATTTTTGTTTATGTATGCTCAACAGTTTAAATGGTTATTGAAAATTCAAGCGATTACCAGTATGCTGATTATTAATATTTTTGGGCTTCCCTTCAGTTTCTCAACCAATATTAGCACTCAAATGAGCACAGTTTGAGCTTCATTATCCCAGTTTAGAGCCTGGTTCATGTTAGTAGCTGACTGTGACCTGGGATCCCTGAAGCAGTAACACACAAATGGTTGAATGTCGCTGGGGTTAGGGTGGATTATCGGCCAGGGGTCTTTCAGTGGTCCTGTGGTCGGTGAGGAATGTGCTTTTTCTGCTTCTTTGCCAGCAGTTTTATCACCCTGCAGCTCACAGCTGGCAGTCAACTGAAGCTAAGCAGCTATGTTGGTCAATACCTGGATGGGAGACCTCCTGGGAAAAGCTAAGGTTGCTGCTGGAAGAGGCATTAGAGGGGCCAGCTTGGGGTGCTCACCCTGTGGTCTGTGTGGGTTCTAATTCCCCAGTATTGTGATGGGGACGCTATACTGTAAAATGGCGCTGTCCTTCGGATGAGATGTGAAACTGAGGTCCTCACTCTCTGTGGTCACTAAGAATCCCAGGATGTTTCTGGAAAAGAGAAGGGGTGTTACCCCGGCATCTTGGCCAAATTTCCCATTGACATTCACCAATCATGGCCTCCTACTAATCCCAATCTATGAACTGGCTTCATCACTCTGCTCTCCTCCCCACTGATAGCTGGTGTGTGGTGAGCGTTCTGGCGCTCTATGGCTGCTGTCGCATCATCCAGGTGGGTGCTGCACATTGGTGGTGGTGGAGGGGAGTCCCTGTTACCTGTAAAGCGCTTTGAGTGGAGTGTCCAGAAAGCTCTAAGTGGAAGGAATTATTATTATTAATTATTTTTGTCCAATCAGAGCCAAACCTGTGGTAGGGGATAGCGCCACCTGTGAGACATAAGAAGACAAGCGACTTGAAGATGGGTTACTGGGTTAGTAACTGCGAGCCCTGATGTGAAAATCACACAACTGGCTATTCCAAATCAGATGACAACAATATGTAGCCTATGTGTGTTTGCATACATTTAGTGTCGACCTATATAAGGATCCTCTCCCCCTTCCCTCTTCTTCAAGTCTGCCAGCCTGTTGTCAGGTGCCCTTGATCTTTGTCGATGGAGTTATGCCTCCTATGTCTTCCATTCAGGGTTTTTTCTCTCTCACCTCCAAGCCACTGCCCAACTTGCCACACCCCCTCTGTCCTTCCTCTCCACATGTCCGTACCATCACACTAGTGCCTCCCTGCACCATCTCTGCAATGTTAAAACACTTTTGTTTTTGGATCATTAATACCTGAAGAAACGGAGTTATTTATTAAGATCAGGTCCTACAAACGGTATGTAGCAATGACAAAACAGCCTAATCACATATTATGGCAACATCTGACAAAGTACAAATTAATCTTTTTTATGTATCACTTACAATTGAACAGACAAAACTAGAAAATCCATTATTTTTATTAGCACTTGCAACCAACAGGGGGTATTACTGTTAAAGTCACAGGCTATTAGCATGTACAGTATGTCCACTGCTGGAAGCAATACAAGCTGTATGCAGGCTTTGCACCAGGTTACAGATGTTGGGATTCTGTCCCATTTATCTTATAGAGCCTGGGCAAGTATGTGCCCTTTTTCTGGTCTCCTGGCTCTAGATACCCCATGCAATCCCAGCTCATCACATAAATATCCAATGGAGCACAAGTGATTCTGCAATAAAGTCCCTTAGGGCATATATGGCATAGGGAGTTCATTTTAATTAACAGTATAGGTTGGAATTCAAGAAGCTTAAATGTAAAGAAGACATTAATACTCAAAATAAGCATAAGGTCTACAATTTTACTTTTTAAAATTAGTTTTCTCCACATATCTTTCAAACGTTTTTGAACACCGATCCCTATATCATTTTACGTTTAAGGAATAGCATCTCAAAATTCTATACACTGATTCAGAATCACACAGATTATACAAATAATGTTTTAGTTGTGTTCTTCCATATGGTAAATGAAGTACAACTGCCTTTTCAAAGAAGCCTAAAATAAACTCCACCTAAATAAATATTTGCATTATAAATATACTACTTGGGTTTAGCCAGTGCAAACTTATTCACAAAATACACTGACAAATACAAAAGATATTGCATTTGGTACTGGACAAAAGACTTTTGGTGGTCTTTAAATGTACATGTAAGTAATGTTTACCTGTATAATGATTACTTTTATCCTCGGAGTAGAGTTAACAAATTACATGTTTACAGTATGTCCATGCACTTAATACAACATCAATGTTAAAATGGCCACTCTGAAAGGTAAAACAACTGTCCGGGTGAGGTAAACTTAAATATAAATTCTAATTGTTTTTGGTTTCTGGTATTATAAGTCTAAGAAGATTGTCATGTATGGTACAGTATCATTATAATCCAAATCACTTTAAATACAAGCAGGAAAGCCAGAGACATTACTTTTGAAACATTTTCAAGGGAGCTATAAGGGGTGAGTAGTTTAATTTCTTTCATTAAAAAATATGTAAGCTTATTAAGAGAAAAACATGGCATTAGTATGAGACATTGGATTAGTGCCTGATAATATCACCTTGTTTTGCAATAATGATTGTGCTATTTTGCATGAAAATTGCATTATAAGATAATGCTGCCAAAACACTACCATAAACTGGATTATTGACAACATTATTTTGTTGGCTGGCACTGGGTAGTTGCTCAGTACCTCAGTAAAACTCCATTTTACTGTACTAACCTGAATGCTTGTGATACTGTATTTAAACACAATAGTGTATGCTTTAGGGGGTTGAAGCTGTTTAGGTTTCTTACTTTTTACAGATAGATTCATGTTATATCTGTACACAAAACATTTTTTTTCTAGTTTGCTCTCTCTGTGTTGTCTATTTACATGTTTTAGAACAGAAATTTAGGATGTGCACCTTTCTCAAACATGCCATGATGTGTTTAACAGGAATTTTATTATTTCTCAAGGTCACAAACGAGAGGAGGCTGTTTGGCACTTCTGGTCCATTCAGTCTTGTTAGTTGTGAATTGATTAAGGGGTATCCTCCAGTCATTTTGTGAAAGTCTGGTGGCCCATAACAGACTGGCAAATATAGTTGTGAATTAACTGTTTATCTTATATTACATTTGTGTTGTAGCCACGTTGCATCTGCATTGTAATGTTGCTGGGTGCATTACTAAAAGTACAGTCTAAGGAGTTTCACAACCACAGCATCATTACCTTGAAATAATTCATTAATATTGTGAAACAGCACTGTATTGCTTTGTAATAAAGCAGCAAGGTTTTGAAAATACACAATTATTAACTCCATATTGACTCTCTGCTGCAC